TTCTGGCAGTAACATAATTCCCCTCTCATAAAAGTTTTGGTCCTTGCTGGCAAAAAACTGGTTCAGGTGATTTTTGACATCTTCATTTGAGGTAAAGGTTTTGCCATCCAAAAAATTTTGCAGGGACCGGAAGAAATAGTAGTCGGAAGGCGCCAGATCTGGAGAATATGGTGGATGTTGCAGTACGTCCCATTCAAGCTGTAAAAGTTTTTGGCGAGTGACCAAACTTGTGTGAGGTCTCGCATTATCCTGTTGATTAATTCGGGCCTCTTCTCTTTAAGTGAATTATTCAATTTGTCCAGTTGATGACAATAGACTTCTGAATTAATCGTTGTATTGTCCGGCAAAAGCTCAAAAAAAAACGATTCCTTTGACATCCCACCAAACGGAGAGCATCACCTTTTTTTGGTGAATGATGGCTTTTGACACGCTTTGAGCCGGTTCATCTTTTCTGCTCCATGACCTCTTGCATTTAACATTGTTGTATACAACCCATTTTTCGTCCCCAGTAATAATCCGCTTCAAAAATGGATCATTTTCTTGACGTTTGAGGAGCGAATCACACACGTCAACGCGACGACACAAATTTCGCTCCGTAAAGACATGGGGCACCCACACATCGAGCTTCGAGGTTAAGCCCATGCCTTTCAAATGGCCATAAACAGTCGAATTCGACAAATTTAATCTCTCACCGATCTCTCGTGTGGTTATTCGCCGATTTGCATCAACTAATGCCTTTATCGCATCTTTGTCAACTTCGACCGGCCTTCCAGACCGTGGTGCATCTTCGACATCAAAATTGCCGGATGGAAATTTTGCAAACCAGTTCTGGCACTGGCGTACTGTTAACACGCCTTCTCCATACACATCCGTCAATTTTTTTCTCGCTTGGACAGCATTTTTACCTTTTCTGAAGTAAAAAAGTAAAATATGACGAAAATGCTGCTTATTGCTCTCCATATTTAAAAGGGCACCAACCAAAAACTACTGCGTAGAATTAATAGAACTTTTTCACACACAAGCCTTGCAATATCAGCTCTCAAGACATATAATGGTTATGCGGCTTAAGTGTGAAGTTGGTTTCGAAAAAACGTAATTAAGTTCTCTGACGGGAAAAAACGAAATGACTTTCCGAACAACCTTATATTATAAACATTTTTGGGTAAACGGAAAAAAGCAATTGGGAATTTTCACTTTGGTTGGTTAATTTTATTGGGTAAATTTTAAGAGGCATTCTTGGTGTGTTAGTTCTAAAGCAGAAAATATCTAAATATAATAACATATAAATAAAAGTGTCCCGTGTCAATTATTCTTCGTAATACTAGAAGAAATAGGTATACAAGCGTACTGATTTCATCACCATTTGTAATTGGTTACCAAATGGTCATCGATTCAACAAAATCGGATACCAGGACGCAAGAAAGCTTTTATGCTAGGACTCTAAAAAAACTTCGTCATTCTTATCAACTCTGACAATTCGACGGCCTTGAAAGAGTACGTTCGACGTTCTATTGGGTAAAACCGAGAGAATCAACGAAATGTGAGAAAATAACTTGCTCACATACCTTGCAAAACCTAACCTTTAAAAATTACGGCGGCAAGTAATCAAAATTTATAGGTAAACTAAAGATTAGGTTACCTTCTTTTTGCTTCTTGCGCTGATGATGTTTTGAACGCATGTTATCTTGAGCATTCGGTTATACTTCGAATACTTCTAACTTCTATAATTGAAGCTTTTGGACGCGCATGGAGATATTTCTGTTGCTTAAAATTGGCTTCCAGGGATTTCTTCAGCAGAGTTACACATCTGTTCTTCTCGCTATAATTCAGTTCCTCTTCTTAGCATTAATTTTAAACCCTCACGATGTATTTATTAATGTTGTTAATATTTTGTGATAACATATGTGTGATTTGTGATAGCATATATCTCGTTGATTAATTTAGAAGCTTAAGATATGTTGTATATAAACTAACAGAGACAGTGGAGACTGTAAAGACAAGGAAACTTGTTTACCTGGGTCACCTTATGCGTGGAAAAAGGTACCACATGCTATAAATAATAATACAGGGAAAAATACAAGGCAAGAGAAGCGTGGGGAGAAGACGCATTTTATGTCTGAAAAGAGAGTGGTACTACTGTACATCAATAGAATTATTTTGAGCAGCCGCGTCCAAAGTGAGAGTCACCATGATGATAGCCAACCTTCTCAGAGGAAAAAAAAGAAGGCTATAGTATTTTTCACTTAAAATTAATTCTACCCACGATTTTTTTCATCTAGATTGCGCAATCAGCACTGTGTACAACTTAAACTTTTCCCATTTTTCCAAATAAAATTGCAATTCAATTTGTATAGTCTTTAAAAGTGACTTGTGATTATTAACTACAGGAATAATTTACTAATCTTGCCATTGGGTCCTGCCTCAGCATAACATTATTATTTACGACGTAAACATTATTTACAACATAAACACCGGATTTAGGTCACACTTTGTTTAACCTCTTAACTTCAGTTTTCTTTTTTTGGTTGACAGGTATGACGTTTTTTAGTTCACATAACCACCACGCCTTTAACTATCCAAATGACGGCTACACTAACCAAAAGTTAGCAAACTTTTACTGATATGTGGTCTTCTTCTTTTTATTTTACATCTTGTGGCCTTAGCAAAGTTTTTTGGCCTTAGTCCAAGTGCTTGCTCATTTGCTTATTTCAGCTTGTTTTTTGTAGACAGGGAACGTTAAATGTGATTGCTTCTTGATTATAAAGTGGAATAATCGACTGGCGCTGTGCTTGAACTATGCAAATGTCAAGCGCATACGGCGTTGCCAAGCTAATGATTCCAAACGTTCACATTTCCTGAAACTTTCCGTGTGTGTTTAGCAACAGATAGAAAGAGACAGACGTTCAACAAGTTCGCGTTTCAGTTTAAAGACTACGGTTTTTGCACGCATTTCGACTCGTAGCCGCGTGTCGTAACACAACCGAATGGAATCTAGTTTCTTCCATAAGAGCGATTGTTCGATAATTAGCCGTTGTTAACTAACGTCGCGGAATGCTAACGGCCATACCAGGGACCCGTTTAATTGCCTCGTTTTTCCCTACCCGTCGTCTATTTTCCCGTTTTCCTAGGAAGAACGTTCGCGTCTCCCCGGTTTGACTATCGGGTGATTTACGATTCTCTCTCCATCCCTTTCCCTGCCCACTCGCAGATAACTTCTTACGTTTACGAAGTTAATTACGTCAGACGGCTTCAATTATTTTCCTAATTATCTGAGGAGAAACGGCCGTCGAGATAATTGTAAATTTAGTATCAAAGAACACGAGAAGGCGACGATGATGATGATATCGGGTCCCGGACCAACTCCGGGCTCTTTTGTTTTGTTGTTCGTTGTTGTTCCGTCCGTCAAATCAAATCGAAACCTTAACGTCGAGTTGCTAACTTTCCAAACGCGAGACAAATTTTGATCGGCAAAACGGATTCCGTGTACTAGGGGTTATTCACCCGAACCCTTCGTTAAAAGTTTATTGGGATGCGAGTTAAACACCAATTTCAATTCTTGCAGGTGGTAAATACAGGGTTCCTTGAACCGGAGCTGTCTTTTAGAGCAGAGTGTTTAAAAGAGGATAAAACTTATATTCATCATCATTCATTGACCCCGAGCTTCCCAGCTTAGGGGAGGTAAGGAGGGAAGATGTGTGGGCATATTGCATCGGAAGATCCGAATGGTCTGCCCCAGCTGTCAAAGAACTTACTTTAACTTGCTTCTCATCGGTTCATAAGACGTAGTGGGGAGTTTTTTTTTGATATAATTAATTTTTTTCGTTTCTCCAATCCTCAATTTTGGGTAAAATATTTTCTATTCAATGAACCTTGTTAAAAGAGTTATTTCAATAAATGGGTACACACCTTATTTCTCCTGACATCAATGATGTTACTTTTTACTTTATTTATTTCTGCTGATGAGTTGAAGTTATCTATGTGGTTGTCTCTCCAGTATTGTGTATTATCAAAAAGAACTCTTCACCATGGTATAACTTCTAGATGGGGAAATATCAATCCATTTTCAAAAACCGGTTTTGGTATTTGGCATTATTGGTTGACTCTGATGTCAAAGTGAAATACAATGAAATTCCACAACATTAGGGCTATCAATAATTGTATTTATCATATTAAGCGATCAAAGCTGGGATCTGGGTGCCTTGCTGAGCTTTGGATTTTTAATCTTTTGTGAAACGTAACAGAAGTTAATTGCATGGAGTATGGATGGGAGTTGTTACTACGTTCTTTTGCACTAAGAAGACTGATACACTCAACTTATGACACACCCTTTTCTCTCGAAGAAAACCCAAAATCATCAACTCTACAATTGGTTGCCTCTACCTGATTTTTAAAATAGCTCTACAGATGAGCTTCTTTGGGCCTTGTGGATCTTTTGTGAGAACTCTCGCTTATCTCTGTTTATTATTATAATAGTTTGTCTTCTTTAGGTTTTTCCAGAAGATTTTCCGATACAATCTGGGTATTTTGCTGAGGTTTGGATTTTTCATCCTTTTGGGAAAAGTAGCAGAAGATAAATTGCTAGTGTCGATTTTATGAATTCACATCTTGAGTGTACTGTAAAAACAAGGAGCCGTCGCTAACTGTTTTTCTGTGGAAGAAAACACAAAAGATGACCTTCTATGCGCTTTATGAACCAGTTGTTAGGACTCTCGCTTATCTTCCTTTATGATAGTTTTTCTTTAGATGTTGCAACTAAATGTATTTTGTATGTTTTTCTTAGCGGCATGGCCTATGCAGATCTTGTTGTTTTTCTTGATTATTCTATTGTAATTTGTACATGCGGCTAGACACGTTGATAAATAAATAATAACCGTCACCGTCGCTCCATGGAAATCGTATATATACATTATACAGTTTGGCAAATGTCGGGAAACGTCGAATAATCGACACTTGAAGTGCGTGCGACGACAGACGTAAAGTAAATCGAAACTTAATTGCAGCCTTGATTATCCGTCGCGACTATTTGGACTGGGTCCCCCTTGAACGACGACCTCCCACCACCGCCACCCCATCGCCCCCCAACAATACCGGGGCAGTCAGACAACTTTCGTGGGCACGGAGACGCGAGGGTATACAGTTGAGGTGGGGCATTATTCATTATAAGAAAATTTAAACGAGACCGTCCATTTTTCGAACGTAGTGGGAGATGCATCGTTACGGGTGCACTTGTTACTAATCAATCATCGCACGCCACTGGATTGTAAAGTTATATCCACTTAACTGTTGTTCGATTTTAGTACCGTATTTCCAGATATTTCCGCAATTGCAGGTATCAAAAAAATTTCACAAACTTACCGAAAGATATTTAATTTAATCTCTACATCCTTAGGTTTCTGATATTCTTGGTCAAAATTTTTACATTTTACAAGTGTTTATTTGTAACCCTATTAGAGCGAAACAATGCGCGGGAAAGATTACTGCACCTCAGAGTCTGCTAGAAATGGCCAAATTTCTTATAATAATAACATAACCATCTCTGAAAAGGTTATATTTAGGGGCCTCTTATCCCCGAAAGGATAATTAGGGTTTAACGGCGGCCAAGATGTCAACGATATAATTCGAATTAAACTATACATTTTAATATCGCAACAACGTCAGTCTGATTGCCCGTATAACCGTTTCACCCTTTGTTTACTGCCGTATAGTTCCAATACCCCGAACCTGGATAAAGAATGGGCGGGTAATTTCGACGACAGCAAAGCCGGGGAACATCTCTCCTAATTTTCGTTTTATTTGCCCGACCGCCTTTTTTTTCGGGGGGTGCCTTTATTGGTTTGTTTTCCAAACTGCGAAACACACAATACACTTTGATCGCCCGAACACAAACGTTAGGGAAGTCAGTGGAAATATCCGCCCCACTAGAACAGAACCAAAATGTGCGTAAAATACTGTTTTACTATTACAGGATCATAGGAACCAATTTAAAATTTAGGCTGGGCAAATTAAATGATAAAACTACTAAGTTAGGAATCAGCTAGATTATACCAGCAGTTTTAATAATAATTTCCTTCATTTTAGCGGGAGTGTCAGTTTTAATGAAATGATTGCTAGTTTAAATACAAATCGAGGTATTGGAGTATAATTGGATGTCATTTTAGATCGTTTCAGTTTTCTTTCCTATAACTGTATGAGGTTAATAAGTTAAACCAAATTAAATTAAAACAATGTTTAGTGTGAGTTGAAATGCAAATTAGGATTAGTATATAGCTGGATGTCAGTTGAAAGTAGATCACTCACAATTTAAATCTTATAAATTTTACATCAGTTGACTGTTAGTTTAAATACAAATTGATGTTAGTATTATTGGTATTGGTATTAAAGGGGGGCGCCCTCGCGGGCGTCTAAGCACTTAGGCCACCAGATGGGCCCGTTGTGCCCCCAGGCCGCTCTAGAGGGCGTCCAGAATGCCGCCCCTCCTGTAGAAGGTCAGCAACTCCTTTAGCCCAATACCGTGCACTGAGTCCGGATCGATCAGGGCCGTTCCGAAGACTCCCAATCTTGCCCATGTCAAGGCAGGGCACTCGGTGAGCAGATGATACGGGGTCTCCTCCCCTTCCATGCACCACCTACACTCCGGGTCGTCTCCAATGACTAGCAAGCAGAGATGCCTCCTAAGCCTGCAATGTCCTGTGTAGGCCCCTGTTAGTGCTCTACACTCCCTCCTGGTCAGTCTAAGCAGCTCCCTGGTCCGAGGAAGGGCGGGCCCATCCATCATAAGCCTCGCCTGCCTCATTCCCGGAGCAACTCTCCAGTCCCCCGCGGCCCGGTCTCTCGCCCAGGCTTCGAGAGCTCCCCGCCTCACACACGGGGCGATCCCCAAGCGGGGCTCTGGCCCTATATGCCTATGCGAGGAACCCTCCCTGGCTAAGGCGTCCGCTGCCTCATTGCCCCGGACACCGGTGTGACCCGGGACCCAGACCAACGTGACCTTTCTCTCCTCAGCCACCCTTCTTAGTACCCCTTTGCACTCCTTTATCAACAAGGAGCGCGTACGCACCGACTTCAGCGCCATGAGTGCAGCTCTACTATCCGAGCAGAAGAAGACTCTCCTGCTTCCGTAGTTGAGCCGAAGCACCTCTCTGGCCGCCATCAATAAAGCGAAAATTTCCGCCTAAAACACAGTGCAGTACTGACCCAGAGGGACCGACAAGCTTGATCCCGTTGTCTCGCAGTACGCTCCAGCTCCGGCCAGATCTCCCATTCTGGACCCGTCCGTGTACCAGACAAGTCCATCCCAGGAGCCGACTCTGCCCTCTCTCCAATCTTCCCTTGATGGGAAGAGAAAGGTCAATTTATCAAAGAAGGTCATCTCGGGGATCATGACGTCACGATGTTAGTATAGGGTTCAATGACGGTTTAAATCGTATACATTTTTTCCGTATAATCCTCAGCTAAATGCAAATTGGTATTGCTATAATTTAGAGTTTAAACGTTTTTTTCTACTATGAATGTTCAGTTAAAATTAGTTCAGTGTCAGTTTAAATGTAAACTGACAGCAGCGCGTTATTAAACGTTAAAATTTAAAACATTACCTGACTTGAGCTGGTTGGAGTAGAATTTAGAAAAAAAATTATTAGATTTTTTTCCAAATTTAATAATAATTTTTCTGATTTTCTAATTTGGGGTGACTCCGAAAACTATTTTTACAAATTTAAGTTCTTACGCGTTTTTGGATTTACGGGTTACTTACAGTATTTAGAAGTTGTTGCACCTCTCCCCTTCCACCCCACCGAAGAAAAAAAAACACACACACACACACACACACAAATATTTTTCTACTAATTAAAGTAATTTTTGAAGACGACGATTTCAAATTAGGATCTAAAAATTTTACCGAACCAAAACATTTCGAACGACATTCTGTGCGAAGCAAATCTCAAGACAAAAAATCAGTTTTTGTATCTTAGGATTACAACGTTTCTCCTTATTTTACGGACGCGGCACGGGCAAACTTTCCACGCGTACGCCTTTCCCCATTATACTTTCGGGATTTTATTAAAACTTATATTACGAGCTTCGCATCTTGTCTTATTACCGAAACCCTATACGAATATTCGGGTATTACCCGAGTTCTTTGTTCTCGGGTGCTTCCAGATCTTTGTTCTCTAATCTCTACACCGAAATAGAGTCGCAGCCACTTTGCGACATGACGAGTAAACATGGTTTTATCTCAGCCGCCGCGGGTATGCGCCGCCCCGTCCTACCGACTGCGCCGTAAAAAAAAGTCACGCGCAATAAAATTTCACAGAAATAAGTTTTTGTTGGCTGGGCGAAGCAAGCAAAAAAAAAGTTCCGCCCGATCGCATTTACTACCGCCCCCGGGGGGTCGAAAAGGGGCGGAAGGCTTGAAATATTATGCCGGTCCTTCATAACAGACCGCCGTCGGCTGGATTCTAAATTACAAGGGGAGCGTAAAAAAATTTATTCGCCGTTGACCACAAGCAACGCGGCTATATGCCTTTCGATGTGCATCCCTACCCCTCGGGTACGCCCCTGATACGCGAACTTGCCGAATGTCAACGTAAGAGTTTTGGATTGGATTTTGATTTGGAAAGTTTTCGTCTCGAACGAGCTCGTCGCACTGTAATCGCTTTGAAACGACCAGGATTTTGGGATTCGATTGGGGCTAACCGAGCGTTACACTCAAAGTAAATAAGTCCGTTGGACGTCTTGGCATTAATTTTCATTATTTTCGCTTATTATATTCCGTCCTTCGAATCAGTTTGGTCAATTGGTTTTCTGAAATTTCCTTTAGTAATGTATTTAATGTAATTATGTTGGAAATCAGTTTAAACTAGCTTATAGTTTCAATCATAGGAATTTTATAATATAAGTGTCAGTTTAAATTAACCGTGCTAGTTTTAATAGAAATTAATATATACTTGGATATCAGTTTAAATCATATAAAATTAAAAAACAGTGCTTAATGTTAGTCCAAATGCAAATTGCGATCAGGATATAACTGAATGTTACTTTAAAGTATGTTACCAGTATTATTAGTTTAAATTAGATGGCTGCTAGTTTAAATACAAATTGATAGTTGTATCAAGTTTAATGTTAGTTTCAATCTTCATCCCATGTCCGTTTAAATTAGTTCAGCGTCAGAAATGCAAATTAGGATTAATGTTTAGCTGGATGTCAATTTAGAATAGCCTACTGGCAGTTTAATTTTTTTTAGTTAGTTCAGTGTCAGTTTAAACGGAAATTGGATTTAGTGCATAGATCAAATTAAAGTAGCTTACTCTCTATTTAAATTTTCAACGTTTTTAATCCTATGATTGGGGTTACAGATTGTATTCGATCAGTACCAATTTTAATTCAAATTGGAATTAAAGTATAGCTGGATGCCAGTTTAAAGTAGCATACTGGGAGTTGGATTGTCACTTTAAATAAATCTAGGAACAATTTAAATGGACGTGGGAATTAGTATAAAATAATAAAGTAGTTTAAATCTTGAACTGTTTTTCCTTTGTAGTTCCGGGGTCAGTTAGAATTATTATTAAGTTGCATGCTAATTTAGAGTAGCTTAGTAGCAGTTTAAACGTTTTCCTCCTATGGTTGGAGTTTCGGTTTAATCTTAATTAAAATAATGATTAGGGTAAGTTTAAGTGCAAATTCGAATTAGTATAAAGCTGGATGGCAGTTTGTGGTTGGAGTTTCAGTTTAAATGGAAAACTAAGTTACCAATAAGTAAGTAAGTAAGTTTAAATTAGTTCGGTGCTAGTTTAAATATAAATTCGGGCATATAGCTCGATGTCAGTTTAAATTTTCTTACTGGCAGTTCAGGTCTTATTATTTAATCATAGTTCGGGGTAGTTTTAGAGCCGGTAATCGATTGCGATCGCGTTACTAGTCAGCGGGGCATACCGACGACGGCATTCTGCGAATGAGCGACGTATTAAAAATGCCGTAGCGACCGGTCGTTCGTTATTTTGCTCGCGAACGCGCGAAACAATCGGCCGTTTTCCGCGACATAAATCACGGTGGTCGTGAATTAATATAACCGATCGGGCGGCGAAGGGGGTGGGCGGGAGGAGGGCGCGCGTTAGGCCTTTCTAACGGAATACCTTTGCGAACGTCGC